TACATCCGGTTTTCATTGTCCTAATAATTTCGAATATCCGTCCGAAGAGTTTGCTAATCAATTGTCGAATTATCTTGCTTTCTGCTCGCTTCGTTCATCACTCAGATAGTTTTTTTTGTCACGTAACACGACTCCAATTATCTACTTCGTTATCCATCTTACAAAAGGTTACCTCACAAAACATCTTCATTAGATCGTACTTTAATTACATAAAGCCCGATATGTACACGGACGGCATACGTGCAGAATGAGAAACTTGCCTAACACGGAACATGCATGCGCGAGCCAGTACGACTACGGTATGATCCAATTTAAAATTTTAATAAAACTCCACGATGCAGTTTACGCTTATGGGATTATCCCGCGCAATATTTCAAGGAAACCTTCCACGCGGACAAGAAAGAAGGATGCTGTCCCGCTTTGATAGAATCGAGGAATGCGAAAAGTTTTTCCAGAAATACACTCAGAGATGTATGACATCTTGTTACTATTCTTTTCAATACCTGAAAAGAATGATAAACTTTTTTTCTCTTACTCACTATTTCCTTTAGTAAAACATTATATAGTAATCGTTATTTTCCATTGTTAATTAAACCGAAGCCTTTTCAAAATAGCTATTCCATATTGCAGCAAATTGCAGAGGGATAGGAAATCAGTCTGTCGATGGGACAAATGCCAAAGGGGGACGCAAATTATCCGAATTGAATATTTCCTGTATTTGTGCGACTGTTTCCTATGCCAAAATCTAGTAGTCTGCCAGCACAGCATATAGATTATATATAATAATAAGATTATGTATAATATAATCTTAATTTTATTTTCGTATCCTTCAAAACAATTTTCTGAAGAAGAGCTTATCGTAGTAATAGATAAACCTGATACTTTCATAATTGGGACACGCCCGTGTATTTCGATACTGCCTCTTCTAAGAGTTCAGATCGTCTCAAGTAATTACGCCTACATATGTATAATGGGGTATAGGGGTGAAACCCTTTCAGCGTTGAAACCCTTGCCACCTGAGGCTGTCACATTTAAGTGGAAACGTTACGTGCCTACGAATAGTAACAGAGCTTTCCAGTAAGCATCTTCGATTTCAGTTTGAACGATTGTGCTTCTCCGACACCGAGGGATGTAGCAATCGTATGACAATTAACTTGCCTGATTATTCATGGCGATCAAGTCCCTTACTTCTATACTTAGCCAAACGTAACACGCTCTAATTAAACTCCGTGATCAAACTCCGTGAGATGAATAATGAATTTTCACCAGCGTCTTGGGAAACGTCTTGATCGTATGATAAGTTAGTTACTAGATAATTTATTTACAAATCCAAGTGGCATTCGGTTCCGCCCGGCAACTTTAGTTTTCGAATTTTTAAAAAGGTCACAGAGCTCTCTACAAGATAGTTCTTTCTTGTCGGTCCCGTTTGCGCCGTAAAACAAATTTTAAAATAACCGTGATGCTTATCGTGATTGACGCGCTCTCTCGAGGGAATCGTTAAAAAAAAATCTCTACGCTAAATACGAGAAGCCATAAATCACGAGCATGACGTTGCCTATGCCGCGCTATGCCGCGAAGGTGTAACTAACGTTCTCCTTTTATTCACCAGGACGAAGGATGGCAGCTCGATCGTACAAATTACTACCAGGAAGGATGGTTAGCCACCGGCAACGCCCGCGGCTTAGTAGGAGTGACTTTTACTACGTCGCATTGTCGCACCAGAGCCGCGGAACTTCCACTCAGGGCGAATTACAACCTCCGAGGGCACCGTAGCGAGGCAAGTATCGCCTTTCCTTTTAACTTCTTGTCATCCAAAACCGCTCGAGACGTCTCGGAAACAAAACCGGCATTTAATTTCTTCCTCCGGCTCTTCCCTCCCCGAGAGCGTCAATATCGCGGCTCACAATGACGCATTTCCTCAGCTTCCCACTTCGCCACTTTTCATGGCCACATTTGCTATGTTTCCGTTCCGCCTGAGACAATAGCTGTGCTCAAAAACTTGAAAATATGATATTTCTTTTATAACTCTCTCACGCTTACCTCTCTAATTCCAAAAGCGCGACTTATAGATTGGATAACCGGATCGACAGTGCTTGAGAGTGTCAAGTTGTTATCATAATTTCACGGTTCTTGAAATTGGGTCTTTCAACACGAGCGATATCCTATTTTACTCTGCAATGGAAGGAAGCTCACGAGGGTTATCGGTTACTAGCAGCCAGTGTGTGCGCTTTATCTGCTCGATACCAGCCGCGGTAACCGGTTGCAGAAAGTGTGAGTTAAATCGGCAAAGAAATTGGATGATTGCGCGACGCAGATAGGAGTACGACGACGATGTATTGAATCGTTAAAGAAACGAACGCGAGCAATTCATAA